CACACACACACACCCAAAGACTTGGAAGTAGAGATATAAACAAAGACTTGTGCACCAATGTCCACAGCAGCACTAGGAACAATAATCAAACAACATCCAGCCATATGTTTAGGTTGGGACAACCTAAGTGCCCATCAGCAGAGGACAGAATAAACAAACAGGGTCCACACATGCAGTGGCACACTGCTCAGCCAGTAAGAGAAATGAGCCTTGATACGTGCTGCACTATGGAGCTTAGAGACATGAAGCTCACTGTAAAGAGTTAATCACAAAGGAAAATACTGAATGACTTCAAAAATATAAAAGGACCAGCAAAGGCAACTATAGAGAGATAAAAGTTTATTAGTGGTTCTCAGGAGGAGGCAGAGCAGGAGGAGGGGTTAACTGCTTACGGAGTTCACGTTACCAAACAACTCACTGCCACTGAACTGGTTCTGACACACAGCATCCCTGCAGGAAATGCCCCTTTGGGTTTCCAAGGCTGTAACTATTTGGGGGAGTAGAAAGCGCTGTCTTTCTCCCCTGGAGCGGCTGGTGGTTTCAAACTGCCGACCTTGAGGTTAGCAGCCCCTGGTGTAATCACTACCCCACCAAGGCTCCTGAGTTCACTTTACAGTGATGGGAAAATGACCTTAAGGGCAGCGTTGCACGGCCGATTACTGTTAGTCTGTCTAGGCCAGAGGTCCTCAAACTGCGGCCAGCCGAGGATATTTATCCAGGTTCCCAGGTGTTTTTGCCCCGTTTTGTTTTTCACTTCAAAATAAGATATGTGCAGTGTGCATAGGGATTTGTTCATAGTTGTTTTTTAAACTATAGCTCGGCCCTCCAACGGGTGTGAGGGACGGTGAACTGGCCCCCGGTTTAAAAAGTTTGAGGACCCCTGCTCTAGGCTGTTGAACTGATAAACACTGTGAAAAAAGACAGAGTTACAACAACAAATGAGCAGCTTCTGAAGCCGCTTTTATATATCTATAACCCATTGTTCCCAAACTGAATTGGCATACCACCCTCTTTTCAGGAAAAAAATTACTCAGTACCTCCCTGGCAATTAAACACTTTTGTACTATAGCCCATAATCCAAGATAAAATGTATAGGTGTCTGCTTTTGCAGTCCCTGAATCACTTCAATGCGCGCGCGCACACACACTCTCTCTCTCTCCCCTAGAGGGGGTGGGATCTCCCACTTGGGAAAACACAGCTCTCCAGTCTTCTGCTTATCGTGTTTAAAAAGGGGGTAGTGTCTCCCTCGTCACATCACTAGTAAACATTAAACAAAGATAAAGTTAATGAAAGAAATGAGTAAAAGCTATGAAAATGGGGAAGCGGGGAACAGGCAGGACTGAAGAGAACAACACCAAAAAGGTAAAAATCTAAACCTAGAGTAAAAGGGCAGCTACTTAGAATTCAGGTCGTTTGTCAGGTTCTTAAAGAACAGAAAATATTTATCAATGAAGAAAGAAAACATTCACAAATCATATCACAAATCAGAAAAATAAAAAGGGATTCTTCCCTTAACCAAAGGAATAATGAGGATGGGAATTCATCTGTAGATTACCATAACTATATCTTCAAATGCTGAGCCATTAGCTTTGCACTAGTGTATGGCTTTCAACTGAATGTTGGAATCTCATATTGTTGTATTCTTATTTGTCCCGATGAGATGCTCATTCTTCAACTAAAACCCAAGAGTTTGTTCCTACCTCTCTGAAGAGTGCACCATAAAACTGAACAATATATGGGCAATCGCTACTCCGCATTACTACATCCAAATCCATTAGAAGTTGTTTTTGTTCTTTTTCATCCACTGTTGACCGAATTCTCTGGAAAAGAATGACAAAAGATGTCATAAAAAACATAAAGCACTTTAGAAATCTGAGAAAAACCTCTACTACAAAAGACTGAGAATTAACCCAGCAAATACCACAAATACTAACCAGACGTGAAATTTTTTATCTTTCCTTTTACTTTATAAGAATAATTTTAATCACAGGAAACTGAACAAAACATGGCTAAGAAATCCTTTAACTTGTTTAGGGCGTCAAACCACAGGGAGCCGCTGATGGAGACGAAGAGTTATGCAACACAAGTTCTTTGGGCAGCGAAAATTAAACCCAACACACAAACGGAAAACCAAGTGAAGAAAATCTTAATGGATTATACTTTGCTTAAATAGCTTTCATAGGAGTTAATTAACAGGTCGCTTCAGACAGACTTTTAATCACCCTTTCAGAATTGTACAGACTCCAGGCATTCAGTGCAAGGAGAAGCCCTTCCTCTTGCAGCAAGCTCATCCCACCGCGTGGAAAATAACCCACCGCCAGCACAAAGGGACAGCTAGTGAAAGGGCAGTGTGTCTGGACTCTCCCTCTACCACCCTTCACGGAGAAAACACAAAAGTCTACCTGACTCTCGAACCCACAAGTCAGAGCATGCAGGAGAGCAGATAGCTGTGGAGGAAAGCCTACAGGGGAGACTAAAGTACTCTCTGTGGACTCCTGAGCCCATGGGAACCCCCCCACCCCACATCCTGCAGCCCTGGGGCATATCCCTGTACAGCAGCCCCGGTGCATCTGTAAGAGACTGCCACATTAGCAGACCCATCTTCTCCCGTCCAGAAAGAGTGGGGTCCAGAGGAAGAGTTCCCACTACACTAGAGAGATAGGAAAGAATCAAGCTCAGAAATGATAAAATATTAACAATAAAAATTACAGTTCAAGATCATCGAAGCATGCACACGATATTGGTTCTCAAAAAAAGTTCACAATCTCACACTACACCACTGTGTCCAACACACGGCATACTTACAAGGCACGTTAGCATCAAAAACTACATAAGGTGGAACTGTGCCTTCCAAAGACTCCGAAGTATCTGTCGTAAATGTTCTTGAAAAGGACGCCAGAAGTCAATTAAATTCTTGGGGCCACTTTACAGAAGAGAAATCAGTGGCACAGAGAGATATGATAACTGTATTCCACGTCACATGAGAATAGCAGTTGTTTTAAGGAACAGAAGTGGCTTCTCTTAGTTCCATTTTTTAATCACTAAATAATTTAGTATGCTCTAAATACAAGCCAATTTAAATTTGCTACTTAAAATTTATATCCTGTAAGCTATACAATTCTGTACCAAGTGATTTATATTAACTGACATCTATTAACTGACAATATCTGATTTACTTTAAGATTTAGCGTTGAATGGTACTGCCCAGATAAATAACGAAGAAACAAGGAAAAGTAGACACAAAATAAAAGTACTACTTTTAAAGGTATAAAAAATCCCCTTCTCTCATTTCTGTATTCTCAGAGTTTTGAGATTAATACTTTAATTTTAAAACCAATGTAAGTGTGTTCTTTTCAACAAAAAGAAATATTTTTAAGTCAAATCAGCCCAGATATAGACTATATTTTTATCTAAATAATGCATGTTATACTTTCTTAACCCTCCAAAGGTGCAGCTTCCTCACTCCTTAGTTTCCTGTGTAGCATCTCCATGCAGCATCTGTGCAACCATGTTTTATGCAGAGGTATATTCTATGCAAAAATATTATAATCTCAATTGGTTCAAAACATGACCTTATTTTAATAACCGTTTTTATTACATCTCCACATTCTGCTTGATAATCCTGCCAGACACTGTCTCAATATGCGATCATTTGCAGGGGCTTCAATCAGTCATTCATTGTATACAGTAGCACATAAAATCTTTGGAGCGACGCCGGTCCATAATTTATGGGAACTATCAACTTTTTGGCTATCATGTGATTTCCAGCAATTGAAATATGAGCATCCATACCAAGGTAAATTTTAAAAGCCACAAAATCAATGTTTAAAAACCCAACCACACTCACGGGCATCGAGTCAACGCTGAGCCACAGTGACCCACTGTGGCTTCCAAGACCGTTACTGTTAGGAGGGCAGAAAGCCCGTCTTTTTCCAGAGGAGCTGCTGGGGTTTCAAACCACCACCAGGCTCCTCTCATACATTTAAGGAAATAAAAAACGAACCAGCAAAGGGGAACCTTTAAAAATAGCATCTTATAAGTGTGTTCAAGTATGCACGCTTAAAATATATTCACACAAATATGAGTAGAAAACGCGGTGCATCTTTTAAAGCACCCATACAGGGAGTTCTTAGTAGGTGAAAACCGTCCCACCAGAGAGTCATTTGATTTTTTCTCCTTGATGAGGCAAGACCAACCATTCTACAATGAGCCGCACAGTAAGAAAATCACTTCTCTCATCAACTTTGCAACAGTGGCTTTGAACAGGTGAAGCAACCTCAGCTGGAAAGAGCCCAAACGAATGCCCTCTGTATGAACAGTGAGACAGGACTCTCAGCTTCTGCTCTAAAACCAGCAAGACAGATCTCCCAGGGGGGTCCTTCAGAACATGCTAGCACCTCCTACCAAGATACTGTTAGCTGCAAGGCTGTAGCCAAGGTACTACAGAAAATCCCTTTAGTTAAAAAGAAATAAATGTCTAACAAACACAAGAGTTCATAAATAAAGAATAAGAGGGGGAAAAAAGAAAGAAAATCCCTGTAGTCAACACTACATAGGCCTCCCTGCAAATCCATAGCTCAGCTCTCTGTACCCAATACGATGGACCTCTCTTGCAGGTCAATTTGGGTCCGTGTGCTCCCTCTTCTGGTCAGAGCTGCGGACGGCTGACTGCCGGTGTCAGGGGCTGGGAAACAGGGGGTTGGAGGATAACCCCCAGCCGACATAGCACAGGTAGCCTGTGATACCAAAAAACAAACAAACCAGCTAGCAGACTTCTCTGGAGGGTTACTTGGAACAAGACACACCTTTCCCTGTCCAGTTGCGGTTGGCTGCAAGGCTACTGCAAAATGCTGCTGAAGCTGCCTGCAGTGAAGTCTGCTTCCACAGTCGACGTTTGCAAAGAATGGAAGAATACAATCACACAAGGTTAAACATAATTAAAGAGGTGAGTGAAAAAAAGGAAATGAGCTAAAAAAAGAAAGAAAACCATGAAAAACAAAACGAGGATCCAAAAGAAAAAAAAAAGGTTAAGGGCAGGATGGGGGTAGGGATACATAAAAAAGAAACCAAACAAAAATATTTCAAATTAAACGGACCATTTAAATGAGAACACATAATGATACTATTTAATAAGACAGAGGAAAGAAATGAACAAGATAATAAAAATTAAAGGACCTCAAGAAGAAAGAGGGGGGAAAGGTTCAAGAAAGCCGGGCAGTTCAATGTTTATTATGGGGCATGACGGATCTAGAAGTCTAGCTGGAGAGGACACAGGCATCAGGGCACAAAGAACATAGGAAAAACAAACGGCAGAGCAGAACAAGCCCAGAGAGATCGACGCTGAAAACTATCATGGACTTCCTAACCTCTCGAGTCTCACTGCCATCCAATCGATGCGGACTCACAGCAACCCTTCAGGAAAGGGTAGAACTGCTTCGGGGGTTCTGAGACGACTAACTCCATACAGGAGTAGAGAGCCTCATCTTTCTCCTGCAGAGTGGCCATTGGTTTCAAACTACTGACCTTGCAGTTCATGACCCAACACATAAGTAGCTACACCACTAGCAGAAAGTGACCGCTTTCTACTCTTTAAAAAGTACAGAAAAAAAACAGGAATACTGAAAGTGGGCAGAGAGAAGTAAATGTAAAAATGATCTCCGATAACATGAAATGCCGATTTCTCCCCAGAAGCACTAGTACCAACAAAGCAATGGGCTATAGCACACAGGTCGTCCTCAACTCGGGGCAGGGCTCCATGCCAGTGGCTCCGTGGTAAGCCTGCTGAGACCTGCTAAGTAGAATGCCTTTAAAATTGCTTCTTATGATTGCCTTCTGTGAGCAGAATGCTCATACATTTTACCTTTCCTTATCTTGGGAGCTTCAAAGGGTTCAGACACATAGAATTTGAAGATAAGTGAATTTTTCCATAAATTTTTGAAGCCCCCTTGTATACAGCAAGTAAGTGGATAATCTAGAAGAAATGGACAGATACTTAGAAACACACAACCTCCAAAATGATATAAGAAAAAGGAGAAATTTCAACAGATGCATAACAATTAAAAAGTTTGAATCAGTGAACAAAAATCTTCTAATTGAGAAGAAAAAGAATAGTCCCTAAAGCATTCCATGAACCCTGTGTAACATGATAGCAAAGCCATACTAAAATACCACAAGAGAATAAAGCTGTATTCTGACATTCCCTTCTGAAAAGATATACCTATATACTCGTGTAAGCCGACCCGAGTATCACTGAAGCACCTAATTTTACCACAAAAACGGCATTAAAAATGTGCTGGAAAACTCAGCTTATACATAAGTATACACAGTAGATGCAAAACCCCACCACGAAATACTAACAGAACCCAAATGCACAGAAAGAGTCAGACACCATGACCTAGCAGAATTGCTTCCAGTAACACTGGGGTGGTTCAATATCCTAAGAATCAGTCGATTTAGATCAAATAGAACAAAGGGAAAGAACCACATGATCAATTTTAAAGATGAAGAAAAAATATTTTATTAAATCCAACACCCTCCCTTTCTATAAGAAACCCTTAAAGAAGGTGGAACGCAAGGGGAATTCCTCAGTATAATACAGAGTAAATATGAAAGGCCAACAACCACCATTACACTTTTATATTCATGGAGAACGGCTCAGAACATTCCTCTTACAATGGCTAACGAGAAGGGTGCACACTCTCACCACGACTATGCTATTGGATAAGCTAAAAAAGGTATGCAGACTGGAATGGAAGTGAAATTATCTCTGTTCACGAATGACATAACCTACATATAACCAAAAGACCAAATGCACTGTCAG